GTATGTGGAAAACTGTAGTTTTCGCTAACAGCTGCGCACGCTGATAATGTGCGTACAAGCAGGGGTGTCTGCCTGTGTGACAGGGTATGCATGCACATGCATTGCAGACAAGAATATCACTTTCTGGCTTCGAGAAGAATGTATTTAATAAAAGTTAGAGTCCAATGAGGGCTGAGGTGAGCAGTTTGGATAATAAGCGCAAACGGAGGAAAGGCCAACAAACGAAAAAAGGAAAATACAGCTGCGCTCCGTGAAATCCGACCTAAAGTGCATACCTTTTCGCCCTCAGCTTGCACAGCCCTTGACGCCCTGCTTATGGTATGAATGTAGCTGGACATACACATGTACGAATAGTCGAATACAGTGCATGGTGTAATCATAACTGGTACAGAGCGCCAGTTTTGCACTTTGGGTTGGATTTCAGTGAGCGCAACTGTGCATGAGAACAAAGCATAACTGAAGTATACATGTATGTCGAAATACCGTAGAATTCCGGTAGTTGAGCCCACCCACGTATAAGCCCATGCTCGCGCATAAGCCCAGGCCAAGTTCGAACATCGCGAAGCTTCGTTGTATAAGCCCATGGGCCTAGCATGGGCCTAGCATGGGCCTAGCTAGGTTTTTTGTACATTTCAGCACAATCATCAGTTGTTTGTGTTTGAAGTAGTGGTTGCGACTTCGGCTATAATTTGTAAGAAAGGGTTTGCTCCCGACACCGGAGCTCGCGCTATTCCGCCGACTTTACTTGACACTTGACTGACTCACGACTGCCATCCAGAGCACACGAGAAGTCCATCGAACCTTCGACTCGGCAAACCTGCAAGAAAGCACCACTCCCTGCTCAATACACAGTGTTTCGGGGAATTCACCCCTCATCAGTTGAGCTTGAGTAGGCTGAGGAAGATTGTGCCTGAAGAGCACCACTTATATAGTGCTCTCCAGGCACAAACATCACCAGGGATACAAACTTACAGAGATGCTCCGTTTCCAGCGCGACAAACACCTCGTGAACACCAGATAGCAGCGTGAGTCAGTGTCGCTCCTGGACGGTGAGACAGACGTCGAGGACCCTCGGTCATTCGCAACGCTGTCACCTCCAAACCAACTAGTCGCAAGCCCGCGCTGGGCACAACAGTACGAAGTATTGGTTGCGACTTCGGCGATAATTTGTAAGAAAGGGTTTGCTCCCGACACCGGAGCTCGCGCTATTCCGCCGACTTTACTTGACACTTGACTGACTCACGACTGCCATCCAGAGCACACGAGAAGTCCATCGAACCTTCGACTCGACAAACTCAGCCTACTCAAGCTCAACTGATGAGGGGTGAATTCCCCGAAACACTGTGTATTGAGCAGGGAGTGATGCTTTCTTGCAGGTTTGCCGAGTCGAAGGTTCGATGGACTTCTCGTGTGCTCTGGATGGCAGTCGTGAGTCAGTCAAGTGTCAAGTAAAGTCGGCGGAATAGCGCGAGCTCCGGTGTCGGGAGCAAACCCTTTCTTGTTTTTGTTTGCACAGTGGTTTTCAGGAATATACTTCTCACTTCTTTGAAACTTTTCAATAGCCCAAATTTGGTGTCGGCGTAGAAGCCCATGCCCGCGTATAAGCCCATGTTCTTTTACAAGCCCACCGAAATGTCCTTGTGAAGCAGATAAGCCCATGGGCTTATCCGCGGGATTCTACGGTAGCGGAAGTAACTTGTGCTGCTCCCTATGTGAGAGTTCGAGGGTTTAAAAATTCCTGTTGTCTTGACTAAGACATTTGACAGGTTCAGGCTGGCAGTTGTGAGCCAGTCAAATGTCAAGTCAAAAGGTCAGGAACTGTGCAAGCTCCCAAGTAGGGGGCAGCGCACATTTGCAAGTATATGTACATGCCACAACAACAGATCAAATCAGTGTGTTAGAAGTAGTCATTACATCACACATACTAGCTTCTAGCCAGGAAAAATATAATAGCGGGGAGAGGGGGGGGCACAACAGTTAGCTCATTTGTCCATGTTCCACTAGTGCCTTGTCACACAAAACTGCAATGTACGGGCGCAATGTCAACGAGCACCCGGAATGATCGATCCGAGGCTGTGTGTTTTGTTCTATGAACTGTGGAATGATCTAAAATGAGAGTAGCGTTGTTCTGAACAACTTTGTCAGTGGATAAAGAATGGAGGGTTTGGGGTGTTGGCATGAGTTAGGAAGTGATAGTGGTGGGATGAGGAGAGAGCATCGGTTGCCAGGTGTTCTAAAGTGATGGATTTGGATCGGGTTGGCAGATAGCGGACGGTGGTAGGCAAGCTACTCCAAGAATCCTGTTCCGATGTCTTCCTTTCTCCGGTTGATAGCTCGATTCCTTTCGCGAATTGCGTATGCTTACGAGGGGATTCCGAGCCTCCGGTCATCCATCTCTGTGAGCTGGACAATTTCGTACCCAATCTTTGGAGTGGCACTCGAGTGTTCTCTAGCATAGTGCACGCCGAATGCAGACTTCTTGTCTTTAGATTTTGCAGCATTCGTATGTTCTTCAGCCCGGGTGTGCATTTGCCTCCTGGTCGAGCCAACGTACAGAGGTTGCACGTAGCTTCAGAGACCGCAAAACTGAAAAGTTTTTTTCTACAAAATCCACATATCTCACACTGGGGTGAATAATGAGTGTGGTGGTGGGGCCCATTAAGCTCCGCCGACCAGAGGCCTCGGCTTCATAGCTCCATGGACGAAAGTGCATTTCTTCTTGGCAATGGAGCACTCACGCATTCTGCATTTCTCTGGTTCTCCTTTCTTCTTTGTAAGTTCTTGGATGGTTAGCGGTCGAGGGTTAACGAGCTGTACCGTTATGCCGTTCTTCTTTCTTTTAAAAATACCCATCGTACTTGGCTTGTCGGAGATGTACGGTATTCCAAATACCAGTTGTTTTCCCTTTGTCTGTATACTTGTGTTTCTTCTGTGGGCTCGCGCCTTGGTGATGTGTTCCGCTGAATAGCCGTTGCCTGCAAGCTTGTCTAAGATGAGGCGTCTGGCTTCCTTCGCAAACTCAGGCGTGCTGTTTTCCCGTGCTCGTCTGTATTCATTGTTAATGACCGCCTTCTCGCTCCACATATACTGGCATACACAGAGACATAGACAGCAATCGCGGCAACACACAAAGTGAAGGGTAGTTGGCCGCAGCCAGATGTGAGACTCAAAACTGACTGAAGAAGTCAGGAAAAGAAGCGACAACAAAGAACACACCAGATGCCATATTTGCAACTGAAAATATTTCGCAAGAAATCATTTCTCGCCTATCTCACTGTGCTCGGCCGGCGAGAAATACAACATCTTTACCGCCGTTGGATGGTGGGAATCTGCGTGCAGTGCTATTCCTTTGTTTGCTGCTGTTACGTAGAGCTTGTGCGTGACTTTACCGGCGGGAAGAATGTTCAGTCCTCTTGTCGAGGATTGGTAAGAAACCATCTTCGTCCGACAACTCCAGTTCGAATTTGATTGTCGGGTGTTTTCCGTTCAGTTTGGTCAGTAGAGACCGTGCTTCCTCTGGAGTGTCAACAGCAGTTCCCGAGTCGTCTACATAGCGAACGAACACTGGCAACGGCGGCGAGGTGTCACTGTAGATGTGGCGCTGTTCGAAGCGGTCCATGACGATGATGGCTATTGTGCCACTGAGTCTGCTGCCCATCGCCAATCCCCTTGTCCGTTTGCATGTTCCAATTTTGAGGAGTCATTTGAAACAAATCAGACTCATTTGGGAATCGGAGCACTTTGATTGGTCCGAAAGACGGTCGAAAATCTGACGTTCCACTGTTCTGTCTGTGTTTCCATTGTATCCCGTCGGCAAACGTATGTGCCTGACGCTTTATGCAGGTATACCAATGTGCATTGCAGGCTTCTAAGGCACACAAAGTGCAACCAAAAATCTACAAGACTGTGTTTTCAGAAGACAGCACAGAGATGTACAAAATTAATACACAGACAGCGATTTCAGTATTAATATTTTTCAATCTGTCAAATGGTGGTCAAAACACGCCGACTGCCACACGCTCTGTTCCAAACAGCTCTGTCCCGTCGGGCAAACCTATCACTTCTCACCGTAACCATGAATTGAATTGCGTGGAGAAAACTTGGGATGTTAACCCGTCAAGCCATGCATTGCACAATGGCACTTTCAATCTGGAAAGAGGCGGCCTAACCTGAAAGGGGTGTTTGTGTGGGGTACCTTCTTTGTGAGTGGTGAATGCAGGGCTTGAATGTCTTTTTTGTGACTGTATGTGTGTGTCCATTTGTGTTTGGATGTCTGTGTATGCTTGTGTGTCTGTATGCTTTTGTGCATGTTTTAGTGTGCTTTTGTGTGTTGGTTGTGTGCGTGTGTTTGGGTATGTGTGTGTTCATTCAATCAAGGAGTGTTTGCTATAGGTGTAGGGTACGCCAATTTCACGGTGCTTTGACATTTTCTTCATTCCCTCCTTGTTCTTGCCTGCAGGCTGTGTGGCAGCCATTACTTGGAGTACAAGCAGCTGGAGGAGGACAATCAACAGCAAGCCAGAAAGAAGACAAATGATTTCTCGCAAAATATTTTCAGCTGCAAATCCTGCATCTGGTGAGTTCTTCATTGTCGCTTCTTTTCCTGACGTCTTCAGTCAGTTTTGAGTCTCACAAGAAAAACAATGTTGAAAATTGTAAAGTACCGGCCATCCCAAACCCCGACCACCATCCCCTCCTGGAATGATTACTTATATTCCTGGAAGATTACTTTTATTCCTGGAATGATTACTTTTATTCCTGGAATGATTACTTTTATTCCTGGAATGATTACTTTTATTCCTGGAATGATTACTTTTATTCCTGGAATGATTACTTTTATAGCTTATCCTGGCTCTGAACTTCACACCTGAAATGACCCTCAGCAATTTTCCTTCTTGGCCTGTGATGGCTGAACTTATTGTTTCTGCACGAGGAAGAAACAAGCCCGAAAATTCTATCGGAGAAGAAAATATATAATTCACCTAACTGTTACCTGCCCTATGCCAATCAGACCTGTACACACTCTGGTGTAAACGTGTAGTTGCCGTCTCCCACTAGCAGTACATATTTGGAGTACTGAGACGGGGTCGGATGGCAGAGGAACAGTCGACTACCGTTCTCCATTATTGTTGTCAGCATGTGACGAACGCACCGCTATTTTCACATCACCAATATTTATTTATTTTGGGTATGTGTGTGTTCATTCAATCAAGGAGTGTTTGCTATAGGTGTAGGGCACGCCAATTTCACGGTGCTTTGACATTTTCTTCATTCCCTCCTTGTTCTTGCCTGCAGGCTGTGTGGCAACCATTACTTGGAGTACAAGCAGCTGGAGGAGGACAATCAACAGCAAGCCAGAAAGAAGACAAATGATTTCTCGCAAAATATTTTCAGCTGCAAATCCTGCATCTGGTGAGTTCTTCATTGTCGCTTCTTTTCCTGACGTCTTCAGTCAGTTTTGAGTCTCACAAGAAAAACAATGTTGAAAATTGTAAAGTACCGGCCATCCCAAACCCCGACCACCATCCCCTCCTGGAATGATTACTTATATTCCTGGAATGATTACTTATATTCCTGGAATGATTACTTTTATTCCTGGAATGATTACTTTTATTCCTGGAATGATTACTTTTATTCCTGGAATGATTACTTTTATTCCTGGAATGATTACTTTTATAGCTTATCCTGGCTCTGAACTTCACACCTGAAATGACCCTCAGCAATTTTCCTTCTTGGCCTGTGATGGCTGAACTTATTGTTTCTGCACGAGGAAGAAACAAGCCCGAAAATTCTATCGGAGAAGAAAATATATAATTCACCTAACTGTTACCTGCCCTATGCCAATCAGACCTGTACACACTCTGGTGTAAACGTGTAGTTGCCGTCTCCCACTAGCAGTACATATTTGGAGTACTGAGACGGGGTCGGATGGCAGAGGAACAGTCGACTACCGTTCTCCATTATTGTTGTCAGCATGTGACGAACGCACCGCTATTTTCACATCACCAATATTTATTTATTTTGGGTATGTGTGTGTTCATTCAATCAAGGAGTGTTTGCTATAGGTGTAGGGCACGCCAATTTCACGGTGCTTTGACATTTTCTTCATTCCCTCCTTGTTCTTGCCTGCAGGCTGTGTGGCAGCCATTACTTGGAGTACAAGCAGCTGGAGGAGGACAATCAACAGCAAGCCAGAAAGAAGACAAATGATTTCTCGCAAAATATTTTCAGCTGCAAATCCTGCATCTGGTGAGTTCTTCATTGTCGCTTCTTTTCCTGACGTCTTCAGTCAGTTTTGAGTCTCACAAGAAAAACAATGTTGAAAATTGTAAAGTACCGGCCATCCCAAACCCCGACCACCATCCCCTCCTGGAATGATTACTTATATTCCTGGAATGATTACTTTTATTCCTGGAATGATTACTTTTATTCCTGGAATGATTACTTTTATTCCTGGAATGATTACTTTTATTCCTGGAATGATTACTTTTATAGCTTATCCTGGCTCTGAACTTCACACCTGAAATGACCCTCAGCAATTTTCCTTCTTGGCCTGTGATGGCTGAACTTATTGTTTCTGCACGAGGAAGAAACAAGCCCGAAAATTCTATCGGAGAAGAAAATATATAATTCACCTACCTGCCCTCTGCCAATCAGACCTGTACACACTCTGGTGTAAACGTGTAGTTGCCGTCTCCCACTAGCAGTACATATTTGGAGTACTGAGACGGGGTCGGATGGCAGAGGAACAGTCGACTACCGTTCTCCATTATTGTTGTCAGCATGTGACGAACGCACCGCTATTTTCACATCACCAATATATATTTATTTTGGGTATGTGTGTGTTCATTCAATCAAGGAGTGTTTGCTATAGGTGTAGGGCACGCCAATTCCACGGTGCTTTGACATTTTCTTCATTCCCTCCTTGTTCTTGCCTGCAGGCTGTGTGGCAGCCATTACTTGGAGTACAAGCAGCTGGAGGAGGACAATCAACAGCAAGCCAGAAAGAAGACAAATGATTTCTCGCAAAATATTTTCAGCTGCAAATCCTGCATCTGGTGAGTTCTTCATTGTCGCTTCTTTTCCCGACGTCTTCAGTCAGTTTTGAGTCTCACAAGAAAAACAATGTTGAAAATTGTAAAGTACCGGCCATCCCAAACCCCGACCACCATCCCCTCCTGGAATGATTACTTATATTCCTGGAATGATTACTTATATTCCTGGAATGATTACTTTTATTCCTGGAATGATTACTTTTATTCCTGGAATGATTACTTTTATAGCTTATCCTGGCTCTGAACTTCACACCTGAAATGACCCTCAGCAATTTTCCTTCTTGGCCTGTGATGGCTGAACTTATTGTTTCTGCACGAGGAAGAAACAAGCCCGAAAATTCTATCGGAGAAGAAAATATATAATTCACCTACCTGCCCTCTGCCAATCAGACCTGTACACACTCTGGTGTAAACGTGTAGTTGCCGTCTCCCACTAGCAGTACATATTTGGAGTACTGAGACGGTGTCGGATGGCAGAGGAACAGTCGACTACCGTTCTCCATTATTGTTGTCAGCATGTGACGAACGCACCGCTATTTTCACATCACCAATATATATTTATTTTGGGTATGTGTGTGTTCATTCAATCAAGGAGTGTTTGCTATAGGTGTAGGGCACGCCAATTCCACGGTGCTTTGACATTTTCTTCATTCCCTCCTTGTTCTTGCCTGCAGGCTGTGTGGCAGCCATTACTTGGAGTACAAGCAGCTGGAGGAGGACAATCAACAGCAAGCCAGAAAGAAGACAAATGATTTCTCGCAAAATATTTTCAGCTGCAAATCCTGCATCTGGTGAGTTCTTCATTGTCGCTTCTTTTCCCGACGTCTTCAGTCAGTTTTGAGTCTCACAAGAAAAACAATGTTGAAAATTGTAAAGTACCGGCCATCCCAAACCCCGACCACCATCCCCTCCTGGAATGATTACTTATATTCCTGGAATGATTACTTATATTCCTGGAATGATTACTTTTATTCCTGGAATGATTACTTTTATTCCTGGAATGATTACTTTTATAGCTTATCCTGGCTCTGAACTTCACACCTGAAATGACCCTCAGCAATTTTCCTTCTTGGCCTGTGATGGCTGAACTTATTGTTTCTGCATGAGGAAGAAACAAGCCCGAAAATTCTATCGGAGAAGAAAATATATAATTCACCTACCTGCCCTCTGCCAATCAGACCTGTACACACTCTGGTGTAAACGTGTAGTTGCCGTCTCCCACTAGCAGTACATATTTGGAGTACTGAGACGGGGTCGGATGGCAGAGGAACAGTCGACTACCGTTCTCCATTATTGTTGTCAGCATGTGACGAACGCACCGCTATTTTCACATCACCAATATATATTTATTTTGGGTATGTGTGTGTTCATTCAATCAAGGAGTGTTTGCTATAGGTGTAGGGCACGCCAATTCCACGGTGCTTTGACATTTTCTTCATTCCCTCCTTGTTCTTGCCTGCAGGCTGTGTGGCAGCCATTACTTGGAGTACAAGCAGCTGGAGGAGGACAATCAACAGCAAGCCAGAAAGAAGACAAATGATTTCTCGCAAAATATTTTCAGCTGCAAATCCTGCATCTGGTGAGTTCTTCATTGTCGCTTCTTTTCCTGACGTCTTCAGTCAGTTTTGAGTCTCACAAGAAAAACAATGTTGAAAATTGTAAAGTACCGGCCATCCCAAACCCCGACCACCATCCCCTCCTGGAATGATTACTTATATTCCTGGAATGATTACTTTTATTCCTGGAATGATTACTTTTATTCCTGGAATGATTACTTTTATTCCTGGAATGATTACTTTTATTCCTGGAATGATTACTTTTATAGCTTATCCTGGCTCTGAACTTCACACCTGAAATGACCCTCAGCAATTTTCCTTCTTGGCCTGTGATGGCTGAACTTATTGTTTCTGCACGAGGAAGAAACAAGCCCGAAAATTCTATCGGAGAAGAAAATATATAATTCACCTACCTGCCCTCTACCAAACAGACCTGTACACACTCTGGTGTAAACGTGTAGTTGCCGTCTCCCACTAGCAGTACATATTTGGAGTACTGAGACGGGGTCGGATGGCAGAGGAACAGTCGACTACCGTTCTCCATTATTGTTGTCAGCATGTGACGAACGCACCGCTATTTTCACATCACCAATATATATTTATTTTGGGTATGTGTGTGTTCATTCAATCAAGGAGTGTTTGCTATAGGTGTAGGGCACGCCAATTCCACGGTGCTTTGACATTTTCTTCATTCCCTCCTTGTTCTTGCCTGCAGGCTGTGTGGCAGCCATTACTTGGAGTACAAGCAGCTGGAGGAGGACAATCAACAGCAAGCCAGAAAGAAGACAAATGATTTCTCGCAAAATATTTTCAGCTGCAAATCCTGCATCTGGTGAGTTCTTCATTGTCGCTTCTTTTCCCGACGTCTTCAGTCAGTTTTGAGTCTCACAAGAAAAACAATGTTGAAAATTGTAAAGTACCGGCCATCCCAAACCCCGACCACCATCCCCTCCTGGAATGATTACTTATATTCCTGGAATGATTACTTATATTCCTGGAATGATTACTTTTATTCTGGAATGATTACTTTTATTCCTGGAATGATTACTTTTATAGCTTATCCTGGCTCTGAACTTCACACCTGAAATGACCCTCAGCAATTTTCCTTCTTGGCCTGTGATGGCTGAACTTATTGTTTCTGCACGAGGAAGAAACAAGCCCGAAAATTCTATCGGAGAAGAAAATATATAATTCACCTACCTGCCCTCTGCCAATCAGACCTGTACACACTCTGGTGTAAACGTGTAGTTGCCGTCTCCCACTAGCAGTACATATGTGGAGTACTGAGACGGGATCGGATGGCAGAGGAACAGTCGACTACCGTTCTCCATTATTGTTGTCAGCATGTGACGAACCCACCGCTATTTTCACATCACCAATATTTATTTATTTTGGGTATGTGTGTGTTCATTCAATCAAGGAGTGTTTGCTATAGGTGTAGGGTACGCCAATTTCACGGTGCTTTGACATTTTCTTCATTCCCTCCTTGTTCTTGCCTGCAGGCTGTGTGGCAGCCATTACTTGGAGTACAAGCAGCTGGAGGAGGACAATCAACAGCAAGCAGAAAGAAGACAAATGATTTCTCGCAAAATATTTTCAGCTGCAAATCCTGCATCTGGTGAGTTCTTCATTGTCGCTTCTTTTCCTGACGTCTTCAGTCAGTTTTGAGTCTCACAAGAAAAACAATGTTGAAAATTGTAAAGTACCGGCCATCCCAAACCCCGACCACCATCCCCTCCTGGAATGATTACTTATATTCCTGGAATGATTACTTATATTCCTGGAATGATTACTTTTATTCCTGGAATGATTACTTTTATTCCTGGAATGATTACTTTTATAGCTTATCCTGGCTCTGAACTTCACACCTGAAATGACCCTCAGCAATTTTCCTTCTTGGCCTGTTATGGCTGAACTTATTGTTTCTGCACGAGGAAGAAACAAGCCCGAAAATTCTATCGGAGAAGAAAATATATAATTCACCTACCTGCCCTCTGCCAATCAGACCTGTACACACTCTGGTGTAAACGTGTAGTTGCCGTCTCCCACTAGCAGTACATATTTGGAGTACTGAGACGGGGTCGGATGGTAGAGGAACAGTCGACTACCGTTCTCCATTATTGTTGTCAGCATATGACCAACCTACCGCTATTTTCACATCACCAATATCTATTTATTTACCTATTATGATTCTGGCACTGATAACAAATGCTTATCTACCAACATTAATTTTACCTACCTATTCATTAGGGGTGAAACGATTACAGTCCATTCAGAAAAAGATGGACTTCTAGCTTTGGCCATAAATTTTTTTCCTGCAATCCCCTATGGAATCCTCTTCCAATTATGTTTCTGGAGTTTTTTTGTCTAAGAAGCAAGCCATAACAAGAATAGGATTTCGGCCAGGTTTTGCCCCGAAAGCACTGAATTGGGAAAAACCATAAAAATCCAGGCCGTTTGACCCCGCCTGGAACAGTGCATCGTGCGGTTCGAACCCCAGTTCAGGTGCTCATTTTAGGCCCTTTTTCACATTTCAAATTTCGCAGCACTGCACTGTGTACGATGAAATAACGAAAAATCGCCAAATACGGGAGGTCGCCAGAGCCAGGGCCCATCTTTTTATGAATGGACTGTAGTTCGAATATTCGAGTATTCGTTCGAAAATTTCAAACGAGCGAGTATTCGAAATTTTGCACTCGATCGTTATTTTTGTACCGCTGGTCCACTGGTATGCATGCGTTATGCATTGCTTTGAGTCAGTATTGACTTGGACGATGCGATCACCACGGCAAGTAACGTTCTGAGATATGAAAGTACTGATGAAACTCGTTACTTTACACTCTGTACAAGACATTGACGACTTTTTCTTCCGATTTGTTCGAGAACTCGCAAATCTAGTGCTTTTAGAATTTTGATAAAATACTCGAAATAATCGGATACTCGATCGAATATTATGAACGAGTGATCGATTGGTCAAAATAGATACTCGTTTCACCCCTACTATTCATGTGACTAAACATCATAGTCACGTGACTGACTACAATCCATGATGATCATGTGACGAACAGTTTACAATCCATGATGATCATGTGACAAACCACAATCCATGATGATCATGTGACCAATATCACGTGATCAGCAAAACACACACACAGTACGTGTGAGTGACGTCACCAGTATTTAAAGCCTGGTTCCCATTTTGACATTTTTTTTGGCAGGCGTGGAGTTGTACAAAAACATCACGATCAGCACTAAAATTGCTGATATGAATGGAGGAGTCCTACAAGTTTTCGGACGATTTTCTTGTTGTGTGATGTTACGGTCAAATATCAACTGGTCGATATCTGGCTGAAAAGTTGGCTGTGGTGGAAACCGTTTTCCACCAATTATTATTGACGGCTTTCCAACATAATACCATCTAGGGTAAAAACAGATCGTGAAATGGCGCTATGCTGGATTGCTACTACTAGCACTAGGCGGACGCTAGCATTTTTACGCTTTGGTCCCGTAACAACTCACTTCTAGGCGTGGCTGCGTACTAGGTGCACGTGTACAGTCCTACAAGCGAAATCTCTTGCTGTTGCGTGTAAACCGGTCGTCTGACTCTATCGA